TTATGCATAGAGTCAGCGTAAAGTCCTGACTGAATGAAAATCATTATAACCTATTTATGTCACTAGCAGTTGATAAGCTGCAATTTGGCTCCAACTCCTCTCCTTGTCATTTCTATGTTCTTTGCACAAAATGTTGAATAAACATTAATGTTGTTTCCACATATTATCTCCAATGTCTGCTGGACTTCGGGTTGCGCCCTGTCAGCTGTTTGGGATTCCCCTCCTTTCCCTCATTTAGATCGGAGCGGCCACGACGATCCAAACTGCAGGATGATCGGTTACAAAATCACCAGTGACAATCTTAAGATCGGCCAACGTTCTAAGATTGTCGTAAGGGGAAAATAGGGGCAAAACATCGTGTAGTATGAACTATTGCATTAGGTAGTTGGATGTGCCCATCTTCTCTATTTAAATCTAGTGATTACTGAAGGGCAATATTCATAATCTGCACTCTTTTGGTTGAATGCAGTATTTATTTCCATTTTGGTTTTATTCAAGTACGTTTTGTTGTTCATTTTATTTTTATTTTTGGTTGTTTTGTTAATTTAGTTCATCAGTTCCAGTGTTATGTGTTCTTTTGAAGATAGTGTATCTATCTATGGCAGGTAATCACATGTATTATTACGTCATTTTCATTAAATCAGTGTCAAAAGGTCTTGAAACAATATTATCATTTATCGCAATAATTTTTTAGACAATTAATCGCTCGGCAAAATTTGTTATTGTGACAGGCCTAGTTCTGAATAAATAATCTTTTCTCACCACCACTAAGGTTCAACGTCACATGTGCCAAGTGTCCCTCATTTTGTTGTCTCCGTCGACATAAGAAACTTAGAGTGACCTTACTCATATCTGCATGAATATACTCACTGCTTGTGTGATTTGGCTTTTGACAGATTCACTCAAGATTCCCTCAAACACAAACGAGTCTCCAAATTTCTCTGCCTAAAATCAGGAGGAAAAACAAGTTGATACCCAGAGAATACCGCAGAATTACAGAAGCATCTAAAAAAAAATACTACATTTAAATATCTCAAAACAGAATTACTTGATACCTCAGTAACATAACCTGTGGCTTTGATGAAGCTCTGGAACTGTTGGGTAGTTACTTCCAGTACGTCCATGTAGAAAGAGTCAACGTACACCGGTCTCTGTGGCGCCTCGCCATCCTGGGGGATACCTGGGTCATCCGTTCCCATGAGAAACTCTCCTCCAGGTATGAACACCATCTGAATGGAGGGGAAAAACTTCAGCTACACTCCAAACCAAACTATAAACTTATCTGAAATGTTATACACACACACACACACACACACACACACACACACAACAGAGGTAAGCAGCGGTTTCAACTGCAACATCCAGAGCTGACTGTAAAGAACGTCTGAAAAGTTTGTAATCCATCACAAGCTGAAACTTATAGTTTGTTATTTAGGAACAATAAAAGTCACACTGAAATATTAAGCATTCTACTGTCAAAGGGATAAAGCAAAAATGACTTGCAAATGGTCTCGACAGTCAAAAGTTTTAAACAGCATTTCTCAACAACTTTATCACGTCTGCTGTGCATTATGCTGTTATTTAACAAAGCTGTATTTTGACTGAATTGCACAAAAGTGCACTCTACTTACTGATGAGGCGCCTTTGAAGGCATTTGTTTAATCTTTGTAAAATGGGCTGAATACAACTACACAACACGCTTTTCAGATTTTTATTCAAACATACAAATCCAGGTTATTCCACCCCATACGGACACATTGTAATTGACCGGGTTAATTTTGTGTCAACCCTTCTAACCTGAGAGATTTTCTCATTAGCAGCTGCTGTGTATTTTACACTCGATGCTCGCTCCTCTTTCGAGTCCACGGAGCCAGAGGCGGTTCTCCTCAGCTTATCGCAGCCGCAGCCCGCTGCTCCCTCCGTGGAGGAGGCCTCTTGCTCTCCTCCGCATGAACTCTGAAGACAAAGTTCTACATTGACGAGCACTACCACTAAAAGCAAGAGAGAATTGCGTACCATTCTGGCAAGTTCCCTCCAGTCGGGATATGCTCATGTTGATACTCTTACTTCCGCAAAGTCACGTGGGAAGTCAGCTGATCTGACTGAAAGAAAAATTTAACTCTTTACTGACGGTGGTTTCTATATTTCTCTCTTAGATAAAAACCTGATTAGATGTTGCTTGTTTTATTTCTTTTAATGACTAAATAACTGTAGAAGGCCCCGGAGATGATGGTCAGAGCTAAGAAGGTCAGTAAAGTTCTACACACTGCTATAAAGCACTATGGGGTGCCGTTTGTAAAGTTACACAAAATAAGCAGCAATAATTTTACTTGTTAGCCTGTCATAAGTGAGAAAGAAAGGAGTGCTCATTTTTCAAAGTCTTATTTTCACCGTGCTGTTAATACATTTAGAAATGTCGTAGCTCCAAACTAAATATATAATTCACAAGCTAAATATTTACTTTGCAAACTAAATGTAGCTTACAAAAATAAATATTTAGTAAGGAAGCTATCTAGTGTCCAAAGCAAATATTTCACTACAAATTAGATATTTCTTATTTTAAAACTGATTATATAGAGTCAAAGTAAATATTTATTTTCCAAAAATAATTGTTTTCCAAACTATTTATTATTTTCCAAGCTTGGTCCAAGCTAGATGCTAGATTTAGCTTGCTAGCTAAAAATATCTAGCTTGCTAACAAAATTTTAACAAGCTAGATTTAGCTTATTTGCTAAGCATAGCTAACAAGCTAACATTGTAGCTTGTTGGTTAGCACAGCAAACTAATAACAAAATATTTAAGTTGCTAAATAAATATTTTGCTTGCTAACTAAATATTTAGATTGCTTTATAAATTTTTAGACAATATGCAAATTAGCATGCTGACAAAAATAAAAGCCGGGTCTCGATGATAAGCTCCTGCTGGTGACTGAATCGCTTCAGTAGTAGTTTAAATAAAGTATTAGCTGAAAACATAGGTCATTTTAACGTTTTAACAGCTGCACAGATGTTTTCTTATGGATCCATAGCTACCGAACCAAATATGCTACTCTTAAGTTGCTTTAGGGTGGCTAATATGAACTATGCATTTCTCAAAGACCTGTAAGTTTTAAGGAGTTGAAGCTTTTTTATCCCGTTCTATATTTTTTCTGTTCTTTATAGTGAACCATTTTTAAATACCTATTACTATTCCCACCAGTGAAACAGGATTACAAAATTCTTTAATTTTTGTTCTAGATATTTGTTTTGCTTTGCTACCCAAAGTTATTGGGGATCCCCATCTGGCATCCCGTATAAAAACTCTCTGCAACCGCCCCTGTTTAGACAAACAGTTTAGGGCAAACAGACACTGTTTGCCTTATGATAAAATAACAATGCACCAATCTTTTCTGTTTGATTTAAGATGCTACAATTTAATCACAAACACAGATTTCTCTTTTCAGTGTTTTTTGACGCTGCTGCGGCTCCGATTTCCTCGGGGTAAAATGAAACCACATTTCCCAGCTATCAACACAGCAGGCGCCTAAAAGAAGAAGAAGAGAAAGAAGTGGCAGCAAGCCAGGCAGCTCAGCTCAGTCAGTGCCTGCTGCCCGCCTGCTGCCTCAGCGAACGCAGCCACGGAAAGCTGTCAGAAACAGGATTATCGGAGCCGCTGACGGCTGGATCTCAGCACTTGGTCCGGCGGAGAGGACGGCCACAGTCATGCTGGCTCTTCTGGTTCGGAGAAAGCTGATCGTCTGAACTGAGTGCAGCACTACCGAGGTAAAGTTGAGCGCACAACTCTCACAGTTTTGCCATCCTCTTCTTCCTACCTCCGATCCTCTCCCCGTCTCTCTCTCTGTCCCTCTCTCAGCGGAGAATAAAAAAAAGATTTGTTTCTTCCTTACATGGTTATTAAAACTCACAGCTGAAAGCAGATAGCTTTATACGCTCACAGGTAATCTGCAAAGACCAACTTTGACAATAGGAACCATTATGAGTCATGGGCAGCGGTTCTAAAAGTTTTAGAGTGAGTTTTTCGTTTTGGTGCGTGGATAAACAATCACATCAGCCTGATGCGCGACTGTTCCGCCCCCATTGTTCGCTTGGTGAATTGTTTGGTGAAATTTTATTCCCAACACTGCTCAGCGTCTCTGACATGGTGAAATTAAAGCTTCCTGCAGGGAGCCTCGGCGGGGATGACCTGCTGCAGGTGCAGAAACCTTCCTGGTAGGTGGCTGCAGCCTGCAGCCCCTTACAGCCGCAAAGCGACATCGACAGGTTACTGTAACATTTTCATTTCCAGCCGGTTCTATGCAAATCCAGCCAGCCAACCTAACAGGTAGGGCTTTTTCAGCTTCCTGGAAAAGCCACTGTACTGCGTGTTATTACCACGAACTGGAAGATGTGGTTTATTTGGTAGGCTAACACAAAATAATATATAATTGTGAATTGGAAGGACAAATGAATATTTATTCAATAATTATCTAATACACACACACACACACACGCACACACACACACACACACAAACAATAATGTCAAAAATGTAATTTGCTGTTTACACTGACATGACTACTGAAGTGAATTTCAAGCATAGGATTTTATTCAAGCGTATCAGTTTAAAGCCCAACAAATTAACATTTTTATATGCATTTTTTCTCTTTGTTTTTATGTTTATGCACCACTTTTGGTTTGAGAACCACATTAGAAACGTTGACGTTTTTGACTTTAATGTGAGAAAATGACAGGGGCGTAAGTACTTTCACCAAACACTGCAGGTGAGCTTGATCTTGGTCAAACTTTGTAAAAGTTATACATAAAAAAAAGTAGCAGATTTTATTATTTATTTTTTCAATTTCATTGTTTATCTTCTTGTCATCTTTTCCAGGTGCTCTGTAATTGGTGTCAATCATGTCGGATAAGATGTCCAGCTTCTTGCATATTGGGGACATTTGCTCCCTGTATGCAGAGGGATCCACCAATGGCTTCATCAGTACTCTGGGGTATGTTTCCTCTGACTGGCCACATACTATGTATAATGTGTATCAGTCTGCTTTTTACACTTTTCTCTGTTCTTTTGCACCAGAGGTTTGATATTATTAATAAAGATGAAAAGCACACCTTTTTAATTAGTTGTGTAGGGGCAAGAGTAAGGACTGCAGGCTAAATAAGCTTTCACCTTACCCGTCTCTGAAAGTGTGAGGAGAAAGGGAATGTATGGGCAGGAGACGCAAATAATAAAGTTTGTGTTTGAGAATGTAGCAGCAGGATGGTAGGTGTTTAGGGCAAATACTACCAGACAAAACTCTAGTCAGTCCAGCAGTCTCCCTGGCATCTCATTGTATTGCTCAAACTATTTAATAAAGAATATTTTAAATTTTCTGAACAGGAAATATAGTGAATAAAATATACCCGATATATCCTCTATGCACTAGTTACTAGTGGAGTTATAAACCTTTATAACTCCACTGTGAAAATGAGGAGCTGACATACATAAATGAGTTATACACACTCTCACGCAGTGAAACCCACTGTATTGGTTTGAGGTGATTCCTCTAGAACCTGTTGGAGGAAAAATATCCCAACTTCACAAGATGTAGCTTTTATCTTAACAGAGCTCTGTGGTTCCTCCTATTAGTCTGAAATTTCTCATGTTGACGTCATCAAACCAACACTTGCTGGCCTCAGGTTTGCAACCAGCTTCTGAAAGCAGTAACCTCCTCCCAGAGTCAGAATCTCACCGAGGAAGAAACTGCATCAGGTTTTCTATCACTTTAATATTTCTGCTATAACTTATGGATATTTGCACATGAAATAAGTCACTAGAGTTTCATTTACAATTTTTATATCTCCGTGTCACGAGGGAGATCTCAGCCGGCTGGTGACAGAAAAAGCAGATCTTGGTCTCAAAAAGTTTGGGCTCCCCTGCACTAGTGGATACAATTAATCCTCAGAAGATGAAAGTTATCTACCGTTTGTAACCAGGGCTGACAGCTCAGAGTCCTGGTCCTACCCACACCCCCTCTGCCGGCTTATGAAAAATGGAACGACCCACTGCAAAGACTGAGTCATTATAAATACATCGTGGCCATTCTTACATGCAGGCACTTCCCACGTAGAGTTATACACACTCTCACGCAGTGAAACCCACTTATCTGCAAAAACTGTCATGAGAGCTTTGGCCAGAAGCCACCCACTCCACAAACAAATCCAACTTCACTGGATTCTCTAGGTCATTTGCCCTCCAGGAAGAAGTTACACAGAGAGGAGAGAAAGCTCTTAATATCACAGTGTTTTCCTTCTGAGATGTTTCCTGCATCAAACTGCAGACCGGGTTCTGTGAGACAAGCTAGACCCAGCAGCTGGAAAGGTTTGAGATGTTTAGAGGTCATACTAATCTGCCAGGTGTTAAGAACCAACCACAAACCTCTGAGGTGAATTGTCAAGTTTTATGTATCGGCAAATCATCCTCACTTTATATCCGGGCTTCATCTGCTCGTTCCTTTTCCTTCAAAATACTAAGGAGGAGTTTTTTTTTCCTTCTGTTGTACATATTCTGCTAAATGGGATGTGGGATTTGGCCTCTGTCCCAGCTTGTGTTGTAATAGGCCAAAGATAAATCTGTCACAGAACATTTAAGGCTGCTTATTGGTTTGTTTGCTTTTTGAAAGGGAATATGGAAAACGAATACATGATTTAAAAGGCCCAATGCAGCAGATCCTGAACTCAGCAACAGCAACTGCTGAGTTCAGGGTTGCAGGTATTTGCAGATTGCAGGCATAAAACATAGAGACCCATTGAATAAACTTAGAATATTCTTGAAAAGTCTGTTCATTTCAGGAATTTTTTACACTTATATTGATGATTGCACAGAGACAGATGTTTGAATGCCTTTATTTCTATTAATGATTATGACTTTCTGCATACTGCTAAGAAAACACAACATTTAAGATTAGAATATTACATCAGGGCAATAAAAACAAATATTATACAGAAATGTAGCCTTAATGAAAAGTAGGTTTTATACCTGCTGAAAGGTGGTCAAAAGGTACTTTTAATCTGATAAATAAACCTCATTGGATATGACTGTAAATGCTTTGTATAAGTG